CCCCCCCCCCCCACAGCCCCAGGACATACAAAAGTACACAGGAGCACACAAGGATACCAACACTATCTATATAACATCAACACAGTAACATCAGGACCACACTACAACACAGCATACAATGAACAGTCACCTTCTTGTGGCTTTCTTGTACAAAAATCTCCCTATCTTTTGCAATCAAATCAGTGCATAAAATATAACTTTCAATTCCTCTTTTCTTCCACAATCTTCCTTCACATTTTAAAAAGTCATTTGTATTTATGAAATGTTTAAAGTTTTTTCAATCTACAATATGGGGAAAAAAATCACACGATGTTCATTTTTTAAAATCTTTCATAAAAAATTATACACCTAAAACTAAAAGAATTTTCTATCATATCTTTCCACTTTCAAAACTCTCTCTCTTTCACCTGAATCCATAGTTGAGTGCATCCTCTGCTGAGATTGTACCAACTCCAATGGTTCTCCAGGTAAAGATGTCATTGTCCAACACGATGTCCTCGAGCTCATCCAAGCGGTCACCAAACTGTAGTAACCACTGGTGGATATCATCCATCAGACCAATGGGGATGTCCTGAATCAATACATACAAAACTGAGTTATATTAAGTGACACAGTAAATTATATAAGAAAAGAATGATTATCAATGATCATATTAAAACGTTACCTATCACCTTTTGTGAAGTTTCACAGCAGTTGTTGGGTCGAGAAACTATAACTTTAATTTGGTTCATCATCAACATCATCTGTAGTTTTAGGACAGGCTTTGGAGACGAGAAACTGCCCTTTTAAACCAGTTCTTTGTCCTCTTAAAACTGAGAGGTGAGAGTTAGCTAAAATAAGGGAGAGATAACTGTCAAAATATTCAAGGGAACAACATATCATCCACATGTTTAGAGTTATGTCTAGGGACATTTAATAGGTTTACTTGCTTGGGATAACATATTGCATGTCCTGGGTTCCTGTCATGTCTAATATCAGATATACTAATCAAAAATTAAAAGTGTTGTCAAGGTTCAAAGTGGTGATATCTAAGACAGGAATGGGGGCAAAGACTAATCAGTGGAAAAATTTAGAAAAATATCTAAATCTAAATCTAAGACAGATCAAACACGCATTCTTAAATTAAAAAAAAAAAAAAAAAAAAAAAAAAAAAGACAACGAGACAAAGTAATTATGTGAAATAATTTTTATGTATAGGCCTATGCATTATTCTATTTTTGTTTTATGTTAGGTTTCTCTAGCCTATTATTTATTTTATATTAATTTGATTCTATGTACTCCGGTAGGGCTTTTATGTAGTGGCAGGTTTTAAGGCGTCACAGGAATGCC